ACCTGCATCATGGACGTCACCTGCACCACGGACGTCACCCGCATCACGGACGTCACCCGCATCACGGACATCACCTGCACTACGGACGTCACCCGCACCACGGACGTCACCCGCACCACGGATGTCACCCGCATCACGGACGTCACCCGCATCACGGAAGTCACCCGCATCACGGACGTCACCTGCATCACGGACGTCGCCCGCATCACGGACGTCACCCGCACCACGGACGTCACCCGCATCATGGACGTCACCCGCACCACGGACGTCACCCGCATCATGGACGTCACCCACATCACGGACGTCACCCTGCATCACGGACGTCACCCACATCACCAACGTCACCCTCATCACGGACGTCACCCGCACCAAGGACGTCACCCACATCACCGACGTCACCCGCACCACGGACGTCACCCTGCATCACGGACGTCACCCGCATCACGGACGTCACCTGCATCACGGACGTCGCCCGCATCATGGACGTCACCCGCACCACGGACATCACCCGCATCATGGACGTCACCCACATCACGGACGTCGATCACATCACGGACGTCGACCGCATCATGGACGTCACCCGCATCACCATCACGGACGTCACCCGCACCACGGACGTCACCCTGCATCACGGACGTCACCCGCATCACGGACGTCACCCGCATCACGGACGTCACCTGCACCACGGACGTCACCCACATCACCGACGTCACACACATCACGGATGTCACCCGCACCACGGACGTCACCCGCACCACGGACGTCACCTGCACCACGGACGTCACCCACATCACCGACATCACCCGCACCATTGACGTCAACCGCACCACGGACGTCACCCGCACCACAGACGTCACCCGCATCACCGACGTCACCCGCATCACGGACGTCACCCGCATCACGGACGTCACCTGCACCACGGACGTCACCTGCACCACGGACGTCACCCACATCACCGACATCACCCGCAACACGGACGTCAACCGCACCACGGACGTCACCCGCACCACAGACGTCACCCGCACCACGGACGTCACCCGCATCACGGACGTCACCTGCATCACCGACGTCACCCGCACCACGGACGTCACCTGCATCATGGACGTCACCCGCACCACGGACGTCACCCGCATCACGGACGTCACCCGCATCACGGACGTCACCTGCACTACGGACGTCACCCGCACTACGGACGTCACCCGCACCACGGACGTCACCCGCACCACAGACGTCACCCGCATCACGGACGTCACCTGCATCACGGACGTCACCCGCATCACGGACGTCACCCGCACCACGGACGTCACCCACATGACCGACGTCACCCGCATCACGGATGTCACCCGCATCACCGACATCACCCGCACCACGGACGTCACCTGCATCATGGACGTCACCCGCACCACGGACGTCACCCGCATCACGGACGTCACCCGCATCACGGACGTCACCTGCACTACGGACGTCACCCGCACCACGGACGTCACCCGCATCACCGACGACACCTGCACCATGGACGTCACCCACATCACGGACGTCACCCGCATCACGGACGTCACCCGCATCACGGACGTCACCCGCACCACGGACGTCACCCACATCACCGACGTCACCCGCATCACGGATGTCACCCGCACCACGGACGTCACCCGCACCACGGACGTCACCCGCATCACGGACGTCACCTGCACCACGGACGTCACCTGCACCACGGACGTCACCCGCATCACCGACGTCACCCGCACCACGGACGTCACCCGCACCACGGACGTCACCCACATGACCGGCATCACCCGCATCACGGACGTGACCCACATCACCGACGTCACCCACATCACGCACGTCACACACATCACGGACGTCACCCGCATCACAGACGTCACCCGCATCACGGACGTCACCCGCATCATGGACGTCACCCGCATCACAGACGTCACCTGCATCACGGACGTCACCCGCATCATGGACGTCACCCGCATCATGGACGTCACCCGCATCACCGACGTCACCCGCACCACGGACGTCACCCACATCACCGACGTCACCCGCAGCGCGGACGTCACCCGCATCACGGATGTCACCCGCATCACGGACGTCACCCGCATCACGGACGTCACCCGCATCACGGAAGTCATCCGCATCACGGACGTCACCCACATCACTGACGTCACCCGCACCACGGACGTCACCCGCATCACGGACGTCACCCGCACCACGGACGTCACCCGCATCACGGACGTCACCCGCATCACGGACGTCACCCGCACCACGGACGTCACCCGCA